TTCGGTTACATTCTCTCTTAATTGCAATTAATACAGCGCCATCGCTGATTTACAGAATTTGCAGTACACCGTTGCAAACGCACTAGGATTCTCCGACTTCACTAGTCATCTCCTGACAATGGATCTCAACACAGATAATTGCACTTCAAATCACTATGAAGTCTTGTTATTTCTTCTTCAATCGCTCTGTACTCCTCTGTCCTAATGTGTACTCAATTATTCTTCACAATTCAGTAAGGACACGCTATATTCTCGTCCTTGTACTCTCAGCTGCTGAACCCTCCTTGACTCTTAACTACTTCGCACTGCATTGCACTTCACTATGCACAATGCACTCTCCACTAATCTAAGCTGCAACAGGTCTTCTTATATAGACTCTGCACTGACAACACAGAAAACACAAGTCACGTGATTCCTAGCCAGCGATTTCATTGGCGCGCTGACTGTTGCCTGGCAACGAGCTATGATATTCATCCACTGAGACACATCTTACATCGTTGCACGTTGGAACGTGTTTACCGAGCCGTTGCCAAGAAACTCTTCGAGCAAATCCGTTACAATATCATATGAGGGAATGGAGGTATAACTCCGTGCATTCTTGTATCTAAGCAGTAACCACAACCGTAAATCAAATAAGAAAACTGGATGTCTTCACATGAAATGCAAAACTTATAAAGATATAGGCCGCTTCTGTTTAGTACGCCTCACAGAAATAAATTAAATTTCTAATCCATTCCTTCTTTATTGCGTTTCGATGATTTATTCTACACACTGTTGACTTCGTATGATTATCGTGTTATATTTTATGAATAGGAAAACCTATTTCAGTGTTCTTCCAAGCAGTAATCCAACACTGACTTCTTTCTTATTTCTTCTTTCTTCGTCTTCGTCTTCTTTTTCTTGTACTTCTTAGTCTGCTCTTCATCCTCACGGATTACTCAAGCTAATGCCATTACCTACATCAAAATCCTCTTTAGAGGCTTGCAATAATCTTCCTCTTACGATTCGCCTTGCAGATTCATAATACCACTCCACTCTTGGCTACATTCATTACACGATGTTCCTGCCCAATTCAGTCTCTTCAAACTATTTTACAGCCACCAACTTTTCCACATACATCAGTGTTTTTCGTTTTTAACAGTATATACTCAGCTAAGCTTCTTTCTGTTGTCTCTGCTGTTTCCTATGTGTCAGTGCCATATTCTGGTGATGGCTTAATTAAGGTTTTCTCCTTTGTATTTCGAATACGGATGCCTGCCTGGAACTGCAATAGTCCTAATTCTTTTGACGGATGTAAAGTTTAATTTTATGTCGATGAATTACATTTTATTTGCAATGTTTATCACGATCAATAAAACATCAACGTATTATTTGAAATATATTTGATTCTAGAACGAATCTGGAATAACAAGAATCGAGCGTGACATGTAGTTCGAATCATGTGTGAAGGTGTGACTGTCTTCATTGTCAAGGTTACTGAACTGCAACAAATGACGTATGCAAGGAAATTAGAAAAAAAAATACGAATGTTGAATTGATAAGGCCGTTTACATTCATTACCCCATGGAATTTCACTGAAATCGATGGAAGAGTGAACAATTATTAATTTTAACCAACGAGAGCTAATAGAAGAGTGGGAAACAAAAACTGCACATTGTGAGCCAAGTAAATTATATAATTTTGTCGCGGCAGCTGAATATGAAGCGGGAGAGATGAAGTTGCGCCGCCTGGCCTGTACGCGCCTCTCGTCCGAGCACAATAACGATACCTCTTCTTCAAGCCTTCTAGTACATCGCGCAAAACCGCTCGGCTGGCGCCTAAAGTTGACTTCACCAAGGTTTTACTAGATGTATTTATAAATAGTGGCCGTAGAAGTTCTCATGAGTTCAATCGAGGCAAGTTACATAGTAGCGTACGTTCATGTTCACTTCAGAGCAGAGAGAAATAGTGTGAAATAATTCTTGCTGACGGTACTGAGTCACTGCAGTCCATTAGTGAGTCCTATGGCGAGATATAGTAGCCAATTTCACTTCAGTTTAATGACAAGAGAGGGGACGAAAGAAGAGGATAAAGCACTAAATAAGCAGTAGCATTACAGTGAAATAACGAATGAAAAAGAACTGACCTTAAGAGCATAAGTGGTTTCGAACCGTTGCAAAATTGCTCCTCCGAAAGTCGACGAAAGCTACAATATTTTCACTCGCATGTCAGCTTGTCTTTCGATCTCAGCCTACATCCTATCCAACGCATCTACTGCAGTAATAAAGCAGTCGAAGAGTGATATTAATGCCAAAGCAAACATGATGAGGACCTTCCTGTCCTCTGCTTTTATAATACTCGTACATCCATAGGTCAATTTTTAGCCTGCTTTCCTTTTGAATATGAGATAAAGCAGGCTCAGGAACTTACACACCATAAGTTTTCAGCTTTAAGCTTATAATACAATAGTTCAATTTGAATATAATTTACTATGGAAATTGCGTCACTAGAAAATACAAAAACGATATAGATTTTATAGCCAAAGATGAATAACAACAAAATGACCGACTACCAACTAGTGAAGTGTAAACGATAACACCGTCATTAAAAAAATTAAATTCCCATAGTGGGGGGGTGGAGTCCAGTTGGGTCCACTCGGTACGTCGGCCACTGATTGGCCTTTTGTATGTGCCCCGAGAGATTATGGTGATGCAGAAATTGGTGGAATGAAGATTGGCAGGGAAACCGAAGTACTCGGAGAAAACCTGCCCCCGCGCCACTTTGTCCACCACAAATACCATTTGAGCAGACCTGGGCTCGAACCCGGGCCGCCGCGGCGGAACACCATCATTTACTGGACGGTCCTGAAACTACGGACAGTTAATTATCTCAAAAAATTTTAAATAGTTTTTAATGTAGGTTTTGTAAAATATGTAACAAAATCATAGAATTCGTGCGAAATTTGTCATTTAAATTTTAGTCTGACCTCGACGAATAATTAACCGCTGGAGCTTTGAAATATGAAATTTGATATCACGATATTATAAGCGTACACATGTATTGCACATGAAACGCTTCTTCTAAATCGACAATTACGGGTACAAACAAATGTTAGGTTATTTCTCGAGAAATTGATGTAGTAAAATAGGCACCTAAGCATCAATTATATGTAGAAAGAAAGGAACAATCACCCAGTTGTATTCATTTACGTGTATTAAAGAGCTTGACAGCAGAAAGATGTCAAGCACCCGAAAAGAAAGTACGTACAGAAGATGTGAACAAGTACAAGTAAAGAAGAAGTACATATAGAAGAGAATACTACGTAGAAACTAAGTGAAGTGAATAACATTAGGTGTGTGATCGTAACCTTAAATATTATTACGACTGTTATTAACAAAACTAGTAATGTCAGTTAAGTAGGACTATTAAATATAATATTAATAATACCACGTACATTATATTTGACCGCCTCTGTGGTCTAACGGTCAGAGTTCCTGGCTACAGATCAAGAGAACCCAGGTTCGATTTCTAGCGCTACCAGATTTTCTGAGAAGTAGTGGGTCTAGAACGGTATTCACTCACCTTCGTGAGGATAACTGAGGAGCTATTTCAAGGAAATAGCGGCTCTGGTCTAGAGAACCGAGATTAACGGCCGTGGGGATCCGTTACGCTGACCACATGACACCCTCTGTTGGGATTAACTTCGCCGACAAGAGGCGGTCGCTCGGTCGGTATAGTTAGCTTGCGGACTACAGGCCACGGAGTTTTTTTATGTACATAACATTTTCAACTGCAACCAGTACAGTGACAGTGACAGAACTCAGACTCGTTTCCATTGTCATCTCCTCACGCTTTTAACACGCTTTGCGCCAAGCTTAGATTGATATGAGTGTCAGATTGTAAACATACATTGTATAATCGTAATATCAGAAACACAATATTTACAAGAATCAAAGTGTGAAATGCAGGAAACAGGTTGAAAGACTTCAGCCATAACCTCTTATCGATTCCGTGCAAGGAAAAACTGCCACATTTACAGTATACCAGAAATAAACTTACTGGAGTGTAAATTCAGGAATGCCGAACTCTTCGTGCCACTTTCCGAAATGTAGACCTACATCATTGATGCTTCATGCAATCAGTTACGACAATAATCATTAACTAATTTGATGAATATGGAGATTTTCTCGATATCGTAAATGATACAGATTAACTTCATATTATATAAGGGAGTAATGTGATATAAAAATGAGCTGAAAGTCAATAAGCCTCACCACGCAGGTCCAAACTAAGTAAGAAAGGCAATAAGTAAGTTACAAATAAGCGGCCTCCGTAGTCTAGGGGTAACGTTCCCATCTCATGACTCAAAGTACGCGGGTTCAAACCCGGCGGAGGTCGTGGAATTTTTAAGGGCAGAAAAATTCAGGGAACAAGTCCTCCTAGAGGGACTTTAAGCAGTGGGTCCCGTGTCGTAGATTTACGGCATGTAAAAGATCCTCATGTCTCTAGGAGACCTGTGAGCAAAATTGGGCAAAAAGTTTCCCGCCCAAATAGTTTCCAATGACTCCGGTAGATGGGGAAGTTATCGGATACCACTGCCAGAAGAGGGCCGACCTCGCTGGCAGAAAGGGAGATAGCGAGCACCGGAACCGGTAGGGTATGGCGACAGTAGAAATTAAAGGGGGACGTACAATAGACTACTAGTTGCGGTGCATGGGGAAACCCCCCCCCCCTAATACTGAATAACTGAAGTTACAAATGGATATAGAACTTAAATAAGAGTATTGACTTGAAAAATGCTTTTATTTCTCAGCATAATCTCCCTGTACACTGAGGCACTTATCCCATTATTTCATAAGCCCATGAAAACCAGCAGCATAAAATTCTTTAGGCTGCTGTCGGAATCATGCGGTGACTTCCCTTTCTACAGCCTCATCGAAAGATGGTGTTTAAGAGGGCTGAACAAAGACTGGGTTTACTGCCGCTGCTTGGAAGTTTGAAGACTCATGACTGTTACTTACCGAGTACAGTGAGGTTGACCAAGGAGTTCCGCGTAGGGGAACCCTGGAAATCCACTCGGCATCTGTATGAACCGGCGTCTGTGTCACGCACGTTCTCGACCGCAAGGTGCGTCCCAGCCGGCTGATCGGTGTCAGTCACACGGAAGAAAGCGCGCCCCCCTAGGGCATGTTCGTCTGCCCAGTGCGTCGCCTGGTCTAGGGAGCGACCCCGAGCGTCCAGGCTGTAATTCAGAAACAATTATATTAATAGTTCAAACGCGACGCTCCAATGTAGCATGCACTACAGCAGAAGTTTGATACCGTACAGTAGGCCATTCTGATGTTTTTCCACGCATTGCCTGTACGTATTGAGTTCAGTATCACATGTATTGTTTTCGGGAGGGGGACTTTCGAAAAATACAAACCCTTTCTCACTGTTAATTTCATCCTCCTGTTTAGCCATCACATAGCTCAGATTTCAAACATTAAATTTCCCCGTCTTGAATTCCTGCCTTGTATATTTCTTAACCCAAAGTTTTTCCTTTACTTTTAAAATCCAGATAGTAAGCAGTTCCTCTTTAAGACCGAACATAATGACATTTTAACATATTCGCTTGTTAATTACAGTACTTTCTTTTGTCATTCAAATACATTCACTCCCCCATACGCCTTCACGGCGCAGTGCTTAATTAGTTAATCAAAGGGACAAGTTTTCGCAGGATGAACTTAAATGTCACTACGTAAATCACTAAGTGAGATAGCTGTATTGCTAAGAATCAAATTTTGAACACTGAAAATTCACTAATAATTACGAGGCTCTGCGATAAGCCGTTTTACGGTAAACAAAAAACTATCCGTTGTGGCGTGTGCGATTCGCGCTTTCATGTTAATTGTGTTCCAAATTGTTCGCCGGAGCCTAGTGTGAGTGCAACTACCGGTAAGTCTTCTTACAAGTGCGCTAATTGTATTAAACAAACGGGGGATGCTGCAGACGAGCATTCCTTCTGCAATAGTAACCAGAAGGATGCATTTACTACAGATCTACTGTGTTCTGCTTCGTGTAATGGGGATAAAGATTCCCTCAGCGTGCAGCTGGAAGCACTTCGTACCAATGGCATCTGTACCATGGAAATGGTGCATTCTATAGTTGTGATGCTGTCGAATCTAAGCAGTGAAGTTAAGCAGCTTAGAATAGACAACGAAGCCATGAAGATGCAACTGCGTGAATTTCAACAGGCGCCCTCACATGTGCAACCAACACGGCGTGAGGCTGGTACATCTACTTCACTTGCAGCAAAATCATACAGGGATGTTGTTTGTGCAGTGAATGGAAACCCTAGTGTCCCCAAGGTCGCAGCTCCTGGTATAAATTCACTACCTGAGCCATCCGTAGTGACGGGTGAAAACCCTTCCGGTGGTGAGTTTGTAACGGTAGTTAAAAAGAAGCGAGTTGCCCCATCTCCTGTT